GGTGCTGGGAAAACTGGAAATCCATAAGCAACAAAATGAAATTAAACCCCTATCTCTCACCATGCACAAAACTCAAACTCAAAATGGATCAAGGACCTAGGAATAAAACCAGAGACCCTGCAAGATTAATTTTCTGAAGATCTTATCAATTTCAATGCTAGATTTTTTTTTCCTTATTGAGAACTTTCACTTAAAAGGAGCACATTATGGCTTCTCTTTGGCATGTACAAATTGCCAGCATCACTACTCTTTTTTTTTTTTTATTTATTTTTTAGTTTTCGGCGGACATAACATCTTTGTTTGTATGTGGTGCCAGGCGAGCGCGCTGCAGCTTGAGCCACATCCCCAGCCCAGCATCACTACTCTTGTGCTTTGGGGCCATCATTAAATAAAATAAGGGTCACTCCAACACAAGCACAGTAATACCATGACAGTTGATAAGGTAACTGAGACAGCTCCTAAGCAACGAATGGGCGAGTGTCATAGAAATGCTGGATGAAAAAATGAGTCACCTTTTGGGTAAGATGGAGTGGGACAGCCTGAGATTTTGTCACACTTCTGAAATTACACACAAATTTAAAACTTACAAATTATTTATTTATGGAACCACCCACTTAATATTATCAGATCACAGGTGATTGAAACTATGGAAAATGAAACCTCAGATGAGGGGGGACCATCGTAGTTTGCAACAAATTTTCATATCTGTTGTCTCCTGGATCCTTGCAACAGCTTTGAGAAGTGAGTGGCACTGACACCCACATTATGTATTTGAGGAAATTTAAGCCCAGGGAGGTTAAGTAACTTGCCTCAGGCACAGGCCTGCAAATTGGGTTGGGTTCCCAACCACCACAACCAAGCAATTACAGCAATAAAGCAAGTGGAATGATTTTTTTTTGGTTTCCCAGTGCATATAAAAGTTAACGTTTAGGGCTGGGATTGTGGCTCAGCGGTAGAGCACTCCCCTAGCACGGGCAGGACCTGGGTTCGATTCTCAGCACCACATAAAAATAAAGGCATTGTGTTGTGTCCATCTACAAAAAAAAAAAAAAAAAAAGATTATCTCTCTCTCGCTCTCTCCCTCTCTCTCTCCTTAAAAAAAAAGTTATGTTTACACTATTAGGTGAACAATAGTATTATATCTAAAAAACCAATGTATATGCCTTAATTTAAAACACTTTATTGCTGAAAAATGCCAATGATCATTTGAGTTTTAGCAAGTCCTAATCATTTGCTTTTGGAGGGTGCTACGGTTTGGATACTGAATGTCTCCTTAAGGCCCATGTTTTCTTTTTTTTTTTTTTAAACATTTATTTATTTATTTTTTTAGTTATTGGCAGACACAACATCTTTGTTGGTATGTGGTGCTGAGGATTGAACCCGGGCCGCACGCATGCCAGACGAGCGTGCTACCACTTGAGCCACATCCCCAGCCCAAGGCCCATGTTTTAAGTGTGGTCCCCAGGGTGCTGCTATTGGTGAGGCCTAGTGAGAGGTTCTTAGGTCATTGGGGATGTGCCCTTGGAGGGGATTGTAGGATCCAGATTCCTTCCAAAGTCCTCATCTTTATTCCCTGGCTTGCCATGTATGAGGATTTGATCTACCACCCATTGCCACCATGACGCAGGCCAAAAGTAATGGGCCAATTAATCATAGACTTGAAACTCCAAAACTGTGAGCCAAAATCAACCCTTTTTTCTTTATAAGTTGGTTATCTCAAGTATTTTGTAATAGTGGTGGAATACTGAGTAACGCAAAGGGTCTTGCCTAGATGTTGGTGGCTGTTGACTGATGGATAAGGTGGTGGTGGTAGCTGAAGCCTGGGGTATCTGTGACAATTCCTTAAAATAAGACAACAGTGAAATTTGCCATGTCTGTTGACTCTTTCTTTCACAAAAGATTTCTCCTTAGCATGTGATGCTGTTGGACAATATTTCACCCACAGTAGAGCTTCTTTCAGAATTGGAGTCGATCCTCTCAAACTCTGTTGCTGCTTTATCAATTAAGTCTGTGTAACATTCTAGATCCTCTGTGGTCATTTCAACAATGTCCACGGCATCTGCATCGGGCGGGCGGGGGGGACTCCATCTCATGAAACCACTTTGTTTGCTCATCTATAAGAAAAACTCCCTGTCAATTAAACTTTCACCATGAGATGGCAGCAGTTTAGTCACATCTTCAGACCCCACTTCTAAAATCTCAGTTTTGCCACTATCCCCCCATATCTGAGTTCTTCCTCCATTGAAGTCCTGAACCCCTCAAGTCATCCACGATGCTTGGAATTGACTTCTTCCAAATTCCTGTTACTGTTGATATTTTCGACTTCTTCCCATGAGTCACAAATGCCCTTAATGTCATCTTGGATGGTGAGTCCTTTGAGGTTTAATTGATTTTTCTCAGATCCAGCAGAGGAGTTACTATCGACGGCAGCTAGAGCTTCAGGAAATGTACTATTTAAATAAGAATTGCACGTCAAAAGTACTCCTAGAACCAGGAGCTGCAGAATGGATGTTGTGTTCATAGGCATGAAGGCAGGATTAATCTTGTTCCTCTCCCTCCCAGCTCTTGGGTAACCAAGGGTGATGTCAGTCAATCATATTATGGAAAGGATCTATTTCTTTTCTGAGCTGCAATTTTTCAAGTGTGAGATTAACTAAAATACTCAGTAAACCAGGATGCACACCGATGTCCCTTCATCTGGGCTTTGTGGGGGGGCAGAGTGGCAAGCAAGCATTCCCTTGGGGCCCAGGATGGCCAGAGTGGTAAGGGAGCATTGGCTTCAACTCAGGTCACCAGCTGCATCAGCCCCTACCAAGGAGTCAGCCTATCCTTAGAAGCCAGGCGTTGACTTCTCCCTGCCACGAGAAGGTGGCATCTTCTTCTAACCTGAGGCTGTTCCATCTCCATTGGCAATCTGATGTTCAGAGCAGCCTCTTCCACCAGCTGTGTGAGCTGGATCCTCCACATAACTGGCTGCAGCTTCTCCATCAGCACCTGGCACTTCTCCTGGGCCCTGGGTGTCATGGAGACAGCTCCTCTCCTTAAACCCTAGAAAGGGTTTGCCTGCTTCTAGCTTCTCTACTGCAGATTTCTTGCCCTCTCAGCTTCACAGAATTGAAGAGTCATGGGTCAGCCCTTGGTATGCAGTGGTTGGCTTGATCTTCTACCCAGACCTCTCATCCTTTCTCCATATCAGCAACAGCCTGATCCACTCCTTGTTCGTGTGGTCCCTGGAGTGGCGTGCTTAATTTTCTTCAAGCGTTTTTCCTTGGTGTTCACGACTTGGCTGGCAGCTTGGCACAAGAGGCCTTGCTTTCACCCTAGTTCATGCCCTCCTTACAGAGCTTAAGTATTTCTAGTTTTTGATTTAAAGTGAGAGATGCACAGGGCTTCTTTTTACTTGAATACCTAGAGGCCATGGAGGGTTATTAACTGGTCTCATTTCAATTCTGTGTCAGGAATAGAGAGGGAGAGAGACAGGGAATGTCTGGCTGGTGGAGCAGACAGAATCCATTAAGTTCGTCATCTTATCGGCAAAGTGATGGTGCCCCAGTTACAATAGTCACATCAGAGACCCTGATCTCAGATCGCTGTCAGAGGTACGATAGCGATGAGAAAGATATTTCAATAATTACCAAAATGTGACACAAAGTGAGCACACATGCTGTTGGAAAAATGGTGCCTTAGACTTACTTGCTCAAAACATGTTGCCAAACAACTTCATTTGGTAAACAACAACAACAACAACAACACTTTACCTAGGAAGTGCAATAAACCAAGGTATGTCTACACAGAGCAGAGCCAGGGCCAGAAACCAGAATCACCAATGGCCATACGGGGCCACTTGGGATTTAGTATTCAATCACTTCATAATTAATTTCAGTTACTGCTGCTGCTAACCACTACCACAACCACAGGACTACGTCCGCTACCACCAACCACTACAATCACCATCACCATTCCCACCATCACCACCACCACCACCTCTACCACCTCCAACCACCATCACCATTCCCACCATCACCACCACCACCACCTCTACCACCTCCAACCACCATCACCACCACCACCACCTCTACCACCTCCAACCACCATAACCACCACCACCACCACCACCACCATCTCCAACCACCTCCAACCACTTCCAACCACTTCAACCACTCCTACTGGTACCCCTACTAACGTTGATCCAATGGCAGCAGCAGGGTCCTCTCCCATGCAGGCCCCTTTTATAGGAGACCTCACCCTAGAAGGTAGATGGTGACTCCATCTTACAGATCAAGACCCATCTTACACTAAATCCCAGAAAACTGGAGAGGACATGGCAGATCCCCTATTCCCTAGCCTCTTAGACCAGGGATTATGGAAGAGAAGAAGGAGCACTCATTTTTCTTGGGAAAATGTCAGAGCTCTGGGATGCCACCTGGGAACTCTGGGGTGAGGAGGGGAGCCGACCTCTCCCAACCCTAAATGAGGGTCAGTGAGGTGAAGCATGGCTCACAGGTGTCATCTCCTTACCTGGTGGGAGAATCTCAAAGGTCAGCGTCACAAACATCCTAAAGAGGAGCTTCCTCCTGTCAGGCAGACCTCCTAAGGCAAATCCCAGCCTCCCGCAGCCTCAGCTTCTTCAACTGCACATGAGGTTCGTCTTTTCTGGGGGCCGTTTGTGGATGGGGTACGGGGAAGGGCCTGCCCCTGTGCCTGCCTAGTAGGGACCCTGCTGTCATTATAATCTGCAGATGGGGTCAAATCACCTGTCTCTTATGGAGGAAGAGAAAGGACTTATGAACTAGGGTTTTCCTGGGGAACTCATTAAAAATGAAGATTCCCCAGGCCCTCATGGTCCTCCCTGCCTTAGGATTCTGACCCAGCAGCTCTCAGGTGCAGCTAGATTCTATTATCCAGACAGTGGGCAGCAGGCCACCAGGGGAGACCGATGAGACCTAGTTTGCCATCCCGAGCAGCCACCCTGAGAGCCTGGCTCCCACAAGTTCTCTCACCCATATGCCCACGGCTACATTCAGGGCAAAGTAGACAGCGATAACAACGATGTCAGTCATGCTCAGTTGTGGTCCGGGAGCATGGAGGTCGCTGGTGGAGTTGTCAGCCATCATTCTGTAGCAGGTGCCAGCTCCGAGCCTGAGTGACTAAGGACAAAGCAGGTTGGAAAGGGCTTTCTGACCAAGAATGAATTGATCATTAAACCAAAGGAAGACAGTGGCATCTCCAGCCCACAACGTAGCTGCGTGCAGAGCGACTGCTTCCAAGTGCACTTCTGTCTCTTTCGCCCCCCTCCTAGGGGGCCAATCCCAGAGCGCAGGAGTGCGGACAAGGAGTGGAGCAGCAGGAGGGGCTTCCTGAAACTCAGAGGGAGTTGGGGGGAGAAGAAAGGGAGCTGAGTGGATCTAAAACTCCCAGAGAGCAAAGGCCATTGCCTAACAGATGGTTTGGGCTATATTTAATTTGTATAAGAAGCATGGGGAGTTGTTCCCTTTGGGGACATCACTGTGATGGGAAGTTATCAGAATGAGTAGACTGAGATAGGCTAGGAATGGTGGCTCCTGCATCATGCTTCACTTGCAGCAATAATGGCCCGGTCTCGGAAGTGTCCCCATGTCAGACAATAAGTTCTGTTGTCAACATTTCAGTTCTTTTCCTGGTCCAGTGAGACAGGCCCGAGCCTTTCCATCTGATCATCCATTTAGCACCCTATGACCAACAGGGTGGGGCACCCACTATTTATCAAACCCTGAGGACTTTGCTTCACTTTTCTGTACGTGTCCCTCCCATGCCATGCTCAAGGCCACAACACAGCATAGGTGACATCTCATCCTAGATAAGGAAACAGAGGCCAGGAGACTGGGTCATCTGAGTCATCTGTCATGACCTAGCCATTCAAAGGGGTAGAGCTGGATTCAGCTGCAGATCTGGCTCCAAGTCTCCACCGTGGTGACAATGACAGCTCTGGTTCCATTTGCATTCCATCAAGGCTCCATGCTGAATCTTCATTTTTAATGAGTTCCCTAGGAGAACCCTAGTTCGTAAGTCCTTTCTCTTCCTCCATGCTTAAATTCGTGTCTGGGGCTGGCTGGCCATATCACACCTCTGTGTAGCGACAGACTTTGCTCATGGCTTTGCAAAGTATTTGGAGTTTAACCAGACACGGACACGCAGTACTTCCAGAAGTGTTAATGAGTGAGAGGCTATTGCCGGGAACACCCTGGCCTGAAAATCCAACTGTGCCGTTACTTGGCAACACTGAGGGGGGAGTAAAGGTTAATCCTTCCCATGTAGGACCAGAAATGGGAGTGGGGAATGAGTCACTACTGATAGTAAATCTCAGGCAGGCTCCGCTCACCCTTCCCTAGCTGCACTTGCCTTCAACCAATGAGTTTCAGATGAGGTTGACTTCCAAGCGATTGCTTCAAATGTATTGTAAATCAAAAGCTCAATTTGCAATGATCTGAAGGACCCAGTTGGGTCATATACAGATTTATTAAATATGTCTCATTGAGATAAAGTGCCTGAACCAATAGCATTTCATCTGCTCTCCTTGTTGAGTCTCAGAAGGAAATAAGCCACTTACCGATAATTGTACTGTCTTCCAATCAAATGTCCTATGGACAGGAAGCTGATTCTGCCCTGAAGTACCGAGACAGGAAGAGGATGGCAGAGGAAGACCTGTCCACATCTGCAGGGGAGAAATGCCACCCCCACCCCTGAGCCCAGCCACAAGCACATGCTCTCACCCCAGGAGACTGGGTATGATCGCACTGGGGACCCAGCCCTGCTGATTGACTCGGCCCCAAAAAGATGAAGATTCTCTTAGCCAAGAAACCATCCTTATCACATGTTTTAGTCTGTTTTCTGTTGCTATAACTAAACACAGGCTGAGTAATTTTTAAAGAATAAAAGTTTACTTAGCACACAGTTCTGGAGGCTGGGAAGCCCAAAGTCAAGGGTCTGTATCTGGTGACGTCCTTCTTGTGGTGTGGACTCTGCAGAATCTGGAGGCAGTTCAGGGTTCCACATGGTGAGAGGGGTGCATTCAAGAGTCAGTGCTACATTCTACTGTAAAATAAATAAATAAAGTTAAAAAAATGAGTCAGTGCTAGACCCACCTTTAGAACAGCCCCACATTATGACCTAATCACCTCTGAAAAGTCCCACATGGTCCCACCATTACCATATAACTTTGAGAAATTAAGCTTCTGTAACTTTCAAACCAAAGCACCATGCCACTTTAAGTTGCATATATCCCAAGAGAAAAATCCCCTGGACTTGGGGAGAACCCTTTCCCTGGACAGGAAGTGGGGTATGCAAAGCTGATGGGGCCAGAGAGGATGGTTGTAAAACAAAAAATGGTTTGTCCCTTGGTGAGGTAGAGGTTGACTTCCAAGAGATTGCTTAAAATGTAAACACAATCAGGAGATGAAAGAACCAAGAGAGGTTTATGACTTGCAGCAAGTAAGGAGTGTCCCAAAGCAGAGTCTCCCCAAACACCTGAGGTGAGGGGTTTTATTGGGGCGATTTATGCATATTCATACTGGGGAGACTTTGTCATCCCATGTGGAAACTGGTACGTTCCTGAGCAGGCTTAGTTTCCGATCATGCTTCTTCAAACATTGCGTGTTCAAATATGGTGGACAGGGATGCCCCCAGGGCAGAGAATTTAGCATTATAAAAAGATTATATAACAAGCAAAATTTATTCCAGATTGCTTGGAAGAGGGGCTGGGAAGCCTTGGCTGGTTTCACTCATTCCTTATGGTCTTTTCTGGAAGGAAGAAACAACATGAAGAGATGGCAGTTAGCAGTGTATTCTCCCATAAACACAGGTGCTTCACCCTGCGAGTTCCTGTCTAGCAGATAACAGTTGAAATTATTCTTATCTCTTGAAGGGGAAGGAATGTGTACAGGCTTATCTTCTCTGTTATGTGCTCAGAATTGACAGAGGCATGACCAGCAAACCATGAGGACCAGCTGGAAAGAGATGAGAAGGTCACATATTATGGAAGTCAGAGCCGGTGAACTGAGCCCCCAGGTCCTCTCCTAGGTCTGGTTACCAATCCAGTTCCAGCTTATCTGTTGTCCTGATTTTGGGATAAACACAAGACTTTTCATTCATTCCTGATAATTACCACCTGCCTATCTGTCCTGTAGAAAGATACAAGAGTTCTGAGCTACAAGTGCAAAGATGCTCAGGGCAGCAGAAAATGAGAAATATCCTTCATGACCACCCAGAGCAGATTGAGGGGATAATGGAAAATTCCATGCTACAGAATACAACAACCATTAAAAAACGTGAGGTGGAGGGCTGGGGTTGTGGCTCCGTGGTAGAGAACTTACCTAGCATGCATGAAGCACTGGATCCGATCCTTAGCACACATAAAATAAAGAAAGAAAGAAAGAAAGAAAGAAAGAAAGAAAGATGTTGTGTCCATCTACAACTAAAAAAAAATATTTAAAAAAGTGAGGTGGCTCTATGGGACGACACAGAAGATGATACATTGGCAAGTGAAAAAAAGTGAATTGCAGAAATAGAGAGTTATGGTTTGCATGTAAGTTGTCCCCAAAAAGCTCCTATGTGAGACAATGCAAGAAAGTTTAGAAGTGAAATAATTGGGTTATGAGAGTCTTAACCTAATCAGTACGTTAATCCACTTGAGTGGATAAATAGGGTGGTCACAGGTAGGGTGGCTGGAGGAGGTGGGCCTCGGGGGTGTGCCTTTGGAGTATGTATTTTGTTCCTAGTGAGCAGAACCGGTGTTCTCTCTCTGCTTCCCGATTGTCATGTCCTGAGTTGCTTTTCTCCCACACACCCTTCCACCATGATGTTCTGCATCATCTCGGGCCCAGAACAATGGAGTTATCCATCTATGGACTGAAACTTCTGAAACCATGAGTGCCAAGTAAACTTTTCCCCTAAAATTGTTCTTCTCAGGTCTTTTGGTCACAGTGGTGAAAATGCTGACTAAAAATATAGAGGTAGGTAGGTAGATAGATATATCCTTTCATTATGTAGAAAACGAAGTGTCTGGCTGAAATGTTCAGAAGAATATACACTGAGCTGCTAAGGAAAGGTAATGGGATTTAAGGAGTGAGATTAAGGGGGAATCATCACTTTCTGTGCTTCTGTGCAGTTCAAGATTTTGTAAGGCCTTAGCCTTGGTCATGGCTCTGATGGGCAGACCAGACTGCAACAGTGCCCCCCAATCCTTCCTAGGCTCACCCCATGTGTCATTTTGGACATAGAGAACCTCTGAGGAGAGCCAGGCTGACAGCTTGGTGAAGGGCAGTGGGAAGGAGACCAAGTCTTTATCTCACATGTCCAACCCGAGACAATTAACATTTTCTGAATGCCTACCTGCCACCAGTACCTGGTACCTAGATCTGCATGGGTTCCTCCTCTTCCCACCATCTCTTCCCAGGTAGCCTCCCTTCTCTTCTATTTCTCTGATCCATGGCTGAACTCAGGATCCTCACATCCAGTTCTCACCTGACAGCTCTCTGAGAACCTCTCATGCTCAATGACCCAGCCCTCATCATCCCTCCGTCCAAACCTCCTCATCCCAAAGGTTGCTGGGATTGGTGGATTCCAGCAGCCAGCTTAGGCCCTTTATCATCTTTGTGGCTGCTGATGCTTACTGACTGATCACCATGTAACCTGACACTGTCCACCCTTAACGCTCTCAATTCTTTGATGGATGGAAAACCTGAGACACAGTGAAATTGAGGACCTTGATCAAGGTCACACAACTACTCAGAGGCAGAGAAGAGCTTTGAACCCCAATTGTCTAGCTGAGTCCACTTCCTGGTATGGCCCACTAACAAATGACCCCTGTACTCCTAGTCTACCCAGGCAGTCTTCTTGATTGTGCTTGAAAGGACACCCGCAGAGTCCACACAAAGCCCAAAGACCACACTACACACTGTAATCTCACACAAGAGATTTATTGTCAGTAGCATGAGGCAAAAGACAGGGCTGTCCCTTTGGGGAGAGCAGCAGCGTGTGGGCACTCACAGAGCACCTTTAGAGCATGCAAGAGGAATTCCATAAGCTGCTTAGGGGTGGGGTTGATTATTTAGCAGGCACGGGTTCTTACGGGAAGTTAAGCAACTTTGCCTCAGGATCCAAACTTTGGAGCCTCTAGATAAAATGACTCCCGACCTAAAATGGCATATCTGATGCCATTTTTGATCTGAAGCC